CCCCGGGCCGCAAGCAAGCACAGGAGCCGGCAAACCTGCCCTCCTGCAGGGTCTCTCCACTGCCCCTATGGACAAAGCTTAACATCCTGTCAGCCGGCAAAGGAAAAAAATTTAAAGGGCCCAGATCCATTCTCACAGAGAAGGTCAAAAAGGAGACGTTGGAGCTTGAGGTGAATAAATTGATAACTGACTTACTCAGGTACCATGACAGTTCATTTGAAAGCCGACCACATATTCTGTGCAGTTGGGTTAGTTATTTTTGAAAATTTTTTTATAACCGTAATTTATCTGGGCTTTTTCTAAAGCCAATTTTTTTGGAGGTTGTGCATTGAAGTTGAATGAATATTAGGATTTTTGTTAGATACATTAATTGCATTTGGTACAAACCTAGGCAGCAGATATACTTTATGGCTTCAAAATATGGAATGAGAGAATCCCCATCTCAATCCCATACTGTTCGTATCTGCAGTTTGTAATTGCCGGCTATTTCAGAGAATCTAGGTGCGTCATGTGGCTTTGGAAGCTATGTATAAGTCTCTTGCTATATTTACTAGTTGATGTTAGCTTATTAAATACCATTTGAGATAATGTGTGTGGTTGCCATTTCTAAAATAGCACCATTTATTTTTATTTAAATTTTAAAATTTTATTGAGGTTAGCATACATATAATGAAGTGCAAACATCTGAAATGTAGCACTCAATGACTTTTTACTACATATACACACAAAGATGTGTATATTATGTATAACAGTGTACCATCATCCAGAGCAAGATACAGACTATTTCCAGGACCTCAGAAGTTTCCCTCATGCTCCTTCCCAGTCAACACCCTCACCCAGCCTGAGCTGCCCTCAGAAGCAATTGCTATTCAGTTGCCTGTTTTTAAACTTCATGTGAATGGAAACACAGAACACACTCTTTCAGATCCAGCATCGCTAGTATTTTCCCGTTGTACCAGTGTCAGCCTTTGTGAAATACACACACACATACCAGATGACTGTACACGTACATGGGAGCCTGTTTCTGGACTTTGTTTAGTTTCACTGATCGGATTGCCTATCCTTGTATCAATACCATACTGTCTTTATAATAGATCTTGATATCTGGAGGGATTAAGTCCTCCAGATCTGTTCTTCTTGGCCATTTTTAGCCCTTGAGTTTGTTTCTAGACTTATTCTGTTTCTTTCTTCTATTTGTCTATCCTTGCACTAAGAAAACATTGCTTTAATTACTGTAGCTTTAGAGTAAGTCTTAATATCTGGTGGAGTAAAACTTCCAGTTTCCTCTTCCTCAAGATTATCTTGGCTATTCTTGGTCCCCTGCATTTTTATATAAACGTTAGATTCAGCTTGTCAATTTCCACCAGAAAAATCTGGTGGGATTTTGATTGAGATTGCACTGAATCCACATACTACTTTGAGAAATCCTGGTAACTTTACAATACTAAAGTTTCCAAGCCATTAACATCATATATCCTTCCATTTATTTAGTTCTTCCTTAGTTTTTCTCAGTCATAGTTTATGGTTCTCAGCCTAGAAGTCTTGCTAATCTTTTGTTAAAATTTTTCATAAATAATTTATATTTACAAATTTTAAAATTTTCTATTTGTTGCAGCTATACAGAAATACAAGTGTTTTTCTTATATTGACTTTGTATTCAATGATGTTGCTAAATTAACTTATTAATCTAATAGTTTACCTACAGATTACTTTGGATTTTCTATGTGTACAATAAATTGACTATATCAACTTTGTTTCCTCCTTTCCAATCATTATACTATTTCTTAATTTTTCTTACATGTTGCTATGGCTATACAATGTTGAATAGAAGTGATGACAGTGGGCATTCTTGTCCTGTGTCCAACCTCAAGGGGTGGTATAATCACTCAGAAAACTGTTCAGCAATATATAGTAGAGTTGAACATACATATACATTGTGATCCAGCAATCCCACTTCTACATATACACCTAAGAGGAAAGAGTGTATGTGTCTACCAAATGACAAGTAAAGCATGTTTTTGTTTTTTTTTTTTTTTTTTTTTTGAGACAGAGTCTCACTCTGTTGCCGGGGCTAGAGTGAGTGCCATGGCGTTAGTCTAGCTCACAGCAACCTCAAACTCCTGGGCTCAAGTGATCCTTCTGCCTCAGCCTCCCGAGTAGCTGGGACTACAGGCATGCGCCACCATGCCCGGCTAATTTTTTTCTATATATTTTTAGTTGTCCGATTAATTTCTTTCTAATTTTAGTAGAGACGGGGTCTCGCTCTTGCTCAGGCTGGTCTCAAACTTGTGACCTTGAGTGACCCGCCGCCTTGGCCTCCCAGAGTGCTAGGATTACAGGCGTGAGCGACCGCGCCCAGCCTAAAGCATGTTCTTAACAGTATTCTTTATGACAACCCAAAACTGGAAACAAATTTAGAACAAATAAATTGTGTTAGACTCAAACAATCCATACTATTTAGCAGTGAGAATTAATGAACTAGTTCATCCATACAACAACATGGATGAATCTCACAACCATGTTAGCAAAAGGAGTTAGACATGAAAAAGTACATACCATATAATTAAATAAAATTAAAGAAAGTCAAAACTGATCTATGCTGTTACAGGGGATAGTGCTGGTTACTCAGGGTGAGGATGGGATCTAGGGTGGAGCTCCAAGGGCTTGATAGAGTACAGCTAAAACTCTTGTTCTTGACCTGAGTATTGATATTCAGCTATGTTCACTTTGTAAAAACTCATGAAGTAATACAGTTGTGATTTGTGTACGTTTCCGTATATATTTTTCAATAAAAGGCTTATTTTTAAAAATAGATATGAACTTAACTGAAGTTCCATTCCCACTGGAATCTGCACAACATAAGAAATGTCTGCCCAACTCTGAAAATGTATAGCTCTTGTAGACACTAAGCTTTTGGATTATATTTTTATATTTGTCCCTTTGAAATTCTTTCTATAGGGGCTGTCTTGGTCTGTCTTGGCTGTCTTAGTTTGTGCTGCTATAACAAAATATCTGAGACTGCGTAATTCATAAATAATAGAAATTTATTTCTCACAGTTCTGGAGGCTGGGAAGTCCAAGATCAAGGCACCAGTAGGTTCCTTGTCTGGGGAAGGCCCATTCCTCACAGATGATGTCACCTAGGTGTCTTCACATGGCAGAATGGACCAAAGGGCAAAAAGAGTCTAAACTAGTTTACTTCAGCCCTTTCATAAGGCACTAATCAATTCATGAGGGCAGAGTACTCATGACTTAGTCACTTCCCTCAAAAGCTCTATCTCTTAATACCACCGCCATGGGGATTAAGTTTCAACATGAATTTTGGAGGGGATGCTGTCATTCATACCACAGCAGGGGCTATGGATAGTAAGTAGAGTTTTCCCTGAAAGGGGTATAAATTATTCCTTTGGGGTAGAAGAGCTTCTTAGATAGGAAACTGAAATTCAGAAGGCAGACATTATTCCAGTTAAAGAAAGGGACTTTAAACTCTTGCTATACCTCATTTCCTTTGGTTTAGATTAGCAGTTCCCAACCGTGGGCTGCAGGAGTTGAAGGGGCCAAGGAGTAAGTTGAAGACATTGCTATGAATCCAAATATACAATCCACCAAGCATCACCTGTAACATGAACAAAGATCTCATATGTACTATTATGTTAAAATACGGATGTTTTTAAAAAATACAAATTCATTTAAAAGAATTACTAGATTAAAAAACTGTTCATTATGAATTTCCTCAAACATATAATAGTACGTACATAAAAGTATAGCTACTATCAAGGAGACTTCAACAAGTTGGAGGCAAAAGGGGAACCTAACACTTTAAAATCTTGGAACTTCTGATCTTGATTTCAAAAGGGGCAAAGGTCTAGGTTTGGAGTCATTCATAAATGGCAAGCTAGGAACTACTTGGGTTGGGGATCATATTCCAGAGAGAACAAGACATATCTTATACTTAAGGTATCTAGAAGCAACTTAATTTCTGTTTTTTTTTTCTATCCCTAGGCTTTAGTACAGTCTTGAATAACCATTCCTCAAGAGCAATAGTTCTCAAACTTTGTTTTAGTAGTTTCTCAGGCCCTAAATTACACTATGCAAGTGGAAAAGGCTTGTTGATTGCTTAATTTTTTGTTAATGCGATTTCTTCTACATCCCATAGCCTACTGTTTTTTCCTGGTGATTTTACGTGATTAAAGACACTTTTCTGCTGCAAGTATTTTAACTCTCTCAAGCTGATCTGTCCAAAAGAATTTTCTTTGATGACAGAAATGTTCTACATGTGTGCTCTGTGATACAGCAGCCACTAGCCATGAATGTCTATTGAGCATTTGAAACTGAATTCTTAATTTTAGTTAAAATTTAAATTTCAATATTGGACTGCACAGCTAACCTTTTCCTAACTCTTATGAAGATGATATAGTTAGATATGTGCACGAGTTCATTAACAATGAACTATCTTAATCTGAAGCAAGATGATTTCAATAACCAGTATGTTTGTTTGGTAAAAGAGGATTTGCTTTTTTTACATACAGGTAACGATAATTCTTAAGGTGTGGAACGTTTTCTTAACAAGATATATTCTCCCAAATTCCAGGAGAGGTTGCCTTTCCTTTTGCTGCAGCGGTTTATTTGGCACAAAACCTGCAGACGCACAGGAGCTGACGCTAGGGCTGAGAAATCTGTTGCAAAGTTGGACACAGGCCGCTAAACGGAGCTAGATGATGTTTCAAATAAAATTCAAATACCTCATTTTTAAAAATTACGAGTAAGAAAAGAGAAACGGGACAGCAAGAAACAAGGCGGAGCGTGCCGGTGACTTCCTCGGCCGCTCCCATTCCAGCACCACGCGGTCCACCTCCCGCCTCGGGCCAGCCAGCTAGTCCAGGGGGCGGGCCGTCCCCTGCCGAGCGCCGCCACCGCAGCCTCGGGGTGGTCCCCTGGCCCCGCCCCCTCCCCACCTGGGCGCGCTGCGGCCCGCCCCGCCGCCGTCAGACCCTGCGCGGCGCTTGGGCGCCGAGTCGGCGCGCTGACGTGCGACGCTCCAGGTACTTTCCCCACGGCCCGCTGGGCTCGGCGTGGGGGCAGGGCGGGGCGCAGAGCGCGCATGCGCCGCAGCACCAGCGCGCTCCCCGGATCGTGCGGGGCCTGAGCCTCTCCGCCGGCGCAGGCTCCGCTCGCTCCAGCTCGCTCCCGTCGCCATGCCCACCACCATCGAGCGGGAGTTCGAGGAGCTGGACGCTCAGTGTCGCTGGCAGCCGCTGTACTTGGTGAGTCGCTGGCCCGCGCGGGGGCCGCCGTCCCCCTCCGAGACCCGGGCCCGTTCCCACCGGCACCCTCCAGGCTCCCCAGTCTCTCGCTCGGGGCGGAAGTGGCAGCGCGGCTCGCGTCAGGGGCGCGCCTGCGCCGACTGCTCTCTTGCTCCTTTGGAGAAAAAAAAGACTTTGGATGAGAGGCCTCGTTGTTGGCGCAAGCGCAGACTTAGTTCTGGAAGGCGGTACCACAGCGGCGCCTTGTGGCGGGCGGAGACTGGCCGCTGACACCCGCTCGCCGCGGGGTGGTGGTGCCGCGGGGAACAGGCGTGGGCGCTGGCGGGGGACCGCCGGCGGGAACCGGGTCGGGCGCCCGGCCGTGCACCCCGAGCTGCAGCCTCACGGTCGCTTCCCTGTGCGTGGCTTTTGCTCGGGGACACTCTTTTCGCCGGCCTGGTGCTTTGTGGCCGAGCGGGCGGGCGGCCGGCGTTCCGGGGAAGTGCGGGCGGCGGGGGCAGGCCGGGAGGCCGCCGGGGTCTGGGTCCGGGGCTGGGTCCGCGCCCGCGCCGGCTCGGGACCCGTCGGAGCAGGCCGGCCCTGGGCAGCCGACCCCGGTTTCCGAAAGTGAAGCCCGCTCTTCCTAGCGGAGCCTCTGTGGGCCTGTGGCGCTGGCCGTGCTTAAATAGTGGTGGTGATAGGAGCTCCGGGAGTCACCAACCCTAATTTTCAAAGAGGGCACAGTGTTTCTTGGCGTGTGGGTCGTCCAGGAAGGCGCCAAAGCCTTCCCGGAACGAAAGGAGGCTTCGGTTGTATTAGTTCAGTGATAAAGTATCCTTCTCTAATTTTCTTTACTGAGGCGTTCTTTACTTAAAGTCAAACACACAAGATCTCATGTATGCATTCAAACGAGTTTCAAATGTATACACCGATGCTAGCACCGCTCAAATCAAAGTAACCTGTCACCCCGGAAAGTGTCATCATGCCACCTCTCCCGCCCTGTTGGCCTCCGCTGTTCTGATGCCCATCACCATAGAATAATTTTGCCTGTTCCAAGTCACATAAGTGAAATCTATACCGTGAACACTTAACTAGTTTTTTTTTTTTTTTACATCAACCAGACTACCTTTAAATTCAAACAATTCTATCTCTTTGAAAATGATTTAATTGCTTATCCTCTCCTATTTAATTATTAGCATATTGTTCCCAAGATTGAATTTGTTGGTTGGTGAGTTAAATGCTGCTTCTGATGTTTGGTTCACTCTGTGTATAGTAAAAGGAAAAAAGAGCTTTCCTGTAAATCTGGATGATCCTGGGTTTTTCCCTATTCCATTTAATTAGATGACAGTAAAAAATATTTTCCATTGTTGTTATGTTTGAAATGTAACGTTTTTTTCTTGAACACATTAGGCAGTAAGGTAAGTACCCAGATTCACATGATACTGAGCATGTTAGAATAGAGCACTAACTTTTAAAGAATGCTTGTGAGGACACTTCCAGTTATAGACAATCTGAAATGCAAACTCTAGTAGCAATATTTATGTGAGAGCCTTCCAGCTAAGTCTTCTCCAGTTACATTTGTTTTAGCAGAGGCTACTGTCCCTAAGGTGTAAGTGATATGTGGAAATACAGGTTTGAGAAGAGAAAAGCGAATGCTACACCTTAATTCAGCCTAACATTTTGGTTAAGCCAGGGTTTTTTGGGCTTCCCTAATATTCTTGAAAATTCAATTAAAATTGTGATTCCTCTTGCCAGAAAAATACACATAAACTTGCATCCACTGCACATTTCACAGCCAATTTCAAGGAGTTCAGGAAACCCTTCTGTGGACTCATGCTGAGGAATCTTGTAATTTACTTGGTTGGTCAATGCTCATATTATTATTCTTTCCTAATGGAAGAACAAGAGCATTATTTTGGTTAATATAAACTATGCCTTGCACACTGGTGTTACAGTAAAAGTAGGTCACAAACCAAGAAAATTAGTAATGGAAAGCAATTCAGGAAGAGTTTGGACTAAGTGTTTTCCTGTGGCCATTGAAGATCCATTCAGCTGTTCTACAAAAATATGTACTGACCTCCAATGGCTCTGGCTTTTGCCCTGGGCCTTGGGGTTCGCAGAGAATGGCATTGACAAGGTTCCTGCTCTTGACTTGAGGTGCTCACATTCTGGGACTTGTTCTCTTGGGGCCTCATTGCAATTCCATATTTTCATTCATTAAATGAAAACATGCTTGTTATGTGCCAGTGTTAGGCACTGAGGATACCTAAGACAGAGTCCTTGCTCTTAAAAATCCATCCTTGTAGGGAGTAGTAAACAGGTAAGCAGGTGAAAACATTAGAGTGATGAATGTAACGCTAGTGTTAAGCACAAGGTGCTGTGGGAGTGAGTACCTAGGAGTCCTGTATTTCCCAAAAAGGGGTGCACCTGAGAATTACAGTGAAGCTTCCTGGAGTCTTGAAGGACATGTTGGACAGATGAAGAGGACAGGGAAGGGGGAGAGAATTAGTGTTCTGGGCAGGAAGCAGCGTGCTGTGCACAAAGGCACTGAGGGTAGAATGCTGAGAGCACCACCACAGGTTAACCTGGAGTCTGGTGTGGATTTCAGGTGCCAGAGAATAAGGCAGGCCTTGGAAAGCCCTGGGAGGTCAGACTAAGAAATTTGACCCATTAATAGGAACTCACTGAGAAATTTTAGGCCTGGAAATACCACGATATTTACTTTTTAGCAAGATCATTCTGACTGCTGGTGGGTTGGATCGGGCCTGCACCACAGGGCAGTCGTCTGTTGGAGTAAACCTGAAGAGAAGCCCGAGCTCCTGAGCTTGGGCAGTGGCAGAAAGGATGGAGGGGAGGTACAGATTTGAAATGAAATGTTAAAGGGGTAGACGTGTTTGGTTTTGAAATGGTTTAGTTCTGTTTGAGGTGCCTGTGAGACACTGAAATGGAAATAGTTGAATGTATACATTTGGAGTCCAGCAGAGAGGTCTGAGCTGTCAATACAATTTTGGAAATCATGAGCGTCTAGGTGGTGTTTGAGGTCCTAGAGGTTGAGACCACCTAACGAAGATAAAAAGGGTTTAGAATTGCCAAAGGCCAAGGACAGAATCTTGACAGACAGCAGCATTGAAGAGGGTAGGTGGGGAAAGAGGAGCTTGCGGAAAAGACTGGTGAGGAATAGCCGTAGAAGTGGGGAGAAAAGCAGTGGAAGAGAGATGGCAGGGCCACGTGCTGAGGATGGGACAGATAAGGTCAGGATGGAAAGGGCATTGAATTGAGCAGCTAGATCAACAGATACCTCAAAGAGAGCAATTTCAGTGGACTACAGAAGACAGATGCTGGGAGTTGAGGACGTAGCAAGAAGTGCAAACTAGCAGGTGCAGATTGTTCTTTTAAGAAACCGAACTTGAAGAAGTAGGGAGAAGTGGCTAAAATGAAGCATGATTAGGTGACTTCTCTATAAACCCTTTGATGGCTTCCCATTGCTCACAATGTAAAGTTCAACCCCTCCTCCAGCTCATTTCCCTCCAGCTCTTTTCTACTGTGTCCGTTCTTCCCTTAGGGACTTTATAAATGTAGTTCCCTTTGCTGTGGCACAACTTGCCTACCTTTTCTTTCCCCTCTTGCTTAACCACCTCCTACTCATCCCAGAAGTCCCACTTCTTTGTCTGGCCTTCCTGCCTGCCCATGCTTGGTATAAGTCCCTGTTACATATTTCTAGAGCATCCCAAGACTTCCCCTTTCATAGCAGGAATTGGATGTATTTCTGGAACACAATTTGCATTATGCAAACCACTACTGAAAGTAACTGCTGCTTGAGTAGGAAAAAGTGCTTGAATTTAAGGTGGCTTCACAACAGTGGGTGACTTTTATGGTAATGTTTGTGAAGACTTGTTCTTTTTTTGGTAGTGCTGATGGGGCTAGGAAAAGAAAGGTTTTGTTCTTGAGCAAAAACTATGTCTAACTAAAAGCCAGACTTGGTTAGTGGTATGAGAACTTTTTACACCTAATTGAAATTCTTGCAGGAAAAAATAATTTAATATTTTGAGTCTGAAACTCTCTGGCCCCTTACTCCTTTTACCTCCTTTGAACAGTTGCTTTTATAACATGACTTTGATAATAGGAGGTTTTTTGGGAATGAATTCTTGGGTTGGAGTAGAACAGACTCTTATTAGTCCTAGTTTATCATCAGAGCCTCATGAAGGCAGTGACAGTGCTTTGAACAGTACCAGGCACTTAGTAAGCACTTGATAAATATTTGTTGAATATATGACTTCTTAGGAGAAAAGAGCAACCTAGTATATTTACATAATTGCCAGGATTAACCTAAGGAGAGAGGTGGAGGTTTGAAGAAATAGAAGGGATGCTGTTAGAGCCAGAAACCTCAGAAAGCAGGAGTTGATGGAATTAAGAGCACACAGGTGGAAGAATTGGCCTTGAAAGGGCACCGTTGGCAGCAGTCAGGTTTCTGGAAAAGTTTAATTTGGTTTGATTGACAAACTAATGACATTAATGTAGTCTGAGGTTAGTTTTGGCTTTTTGAGCAGTGTTCAAGATTGCCTTTGCTTTAGTCACTGCTGATTGTTGTCCAAAGCAGGCTGGGGCATGGGAAGGGCAGGGAAGAGGAATGGAGTCTTGTGAGCCTTTTGGGGAAAGGGAGTAAAACTATGGGGAAATGGCAAAGCTAAGTCATGAAATGTTTGTAGTAAGCAATGGCTCAGAAGGAATTTGGTTGATTAATCAGGGTTTATTAACGGTGGAACTCAACGGATCGTTTTTCTTTATTAAAAATTCATAGTTCAGATATTGTCAGAGTGAGAGCAGTTTTTACCATTTGTGAGTCATCTGATTTTCATAAGTCAGATAGATAAGTGCACTCTGTTCTTGTATTTGTGGGGCAGCCAGTTAGGCAGGTGAATCAAAGCTGTCTTGTTGTAAAACACTTCCCTTGCCTACTAGTTACACATTCTCCTTCCTGTTGTCTAATCTCAGTGCTTTTACATGGTTAAACAAACTTTGAA